AATTCAATCAGGAATTCTGGTATGAATATTGTAGAGATAAAATTTAGTGAAAAATATTGTCCATGAAATCGCGACATGAAAATTTGATAAGAGATCAGATCCAAGAGAGAGAGAGAGAGAGATGTCAGCGATGTCCACTGGCTGGTTGTACATTCTTAAGGAAGTGATGGCTAGGTTCATGGTAAGGATTGATCACCAGATGTCAATAATGAGTGGTAGACCTTTGAAGCATTGTTGTTTTTAATATTTTGAGAAAAAATATATTTGTAAATTAACTCTTATAGTTTTACTTTTGGTTTAGGCAAAATGAGAATTACTTTTTTTCGCACATTTAGCTAATGCCTGCCGGACGTAAAACAAGGGCACCCCCTCAAAAAAAAAGGAGGACGTATCCTCCTTTTGCCAGACGTTTGGTAACCCCTTTCCAGATAACAATGTAGCCTTAAATGTGTCATTTGTATAAAATATCTACCGACCCTTCTACAGTAATTAGGTAGGTTTTGTATTAAATTACATCTTCTATTCAAAGCAGTAAGTAAACATCCAGTTATCTCCCTTCATCCGTCTTAATGTTTCTAATTATGTCTGGCTGCCATGCTTTTTACAAACTTTAACTAGAAATTACAATTAGCATGCGGTGATTCGAAAAATTCTAATTAGCCTGCAGCGATTGCATTAGTTTTAATTAAACACAACGTTTGAGTGCGAATGTCTCTGTTTATACACAAAAGTGGTGTGGATCTGTCTGAATATAACAGTGGAATGGAATTACTGACGTGAGTAGCGTGTAAGTGCAGCTAATAACAGTCATAGCACGTGGGCTAGGGAATCAATAAGATGGAATACTTATCAAGGAAGATGCATGACGTTGGCTTATCAAGAAAGAAAAAAATGAAGATGTTCGCTGTAAACATCATCACGACATGGTGCAATCTGACGTCATAGATCACAAAAAAACGTGCCATCAAGAATGTCACATTATGTAAATATTTACATAACGCGCGAACACAAAAGTTGACAGGCTTATGTTCTATAGAATGAAAAAGCGAATGTCTACTTTTTGGGGAGTTATCTACATTTAGGGCTAATTGGAGATTTTCACGATAAACTAAACAATGTCAAGGTCGCTAAATTGAATTTCAATATTAGCAGCTAAATAAAAGCTATAAATGGAAGAGTTTAGAAAATTTGATTCTACACTGACTAAAAAGTACACGAAACAATCATATAACTTTAAAAAACAAAACATTGTTTATGAACACACTAGACATACTCTGTACACCGGTTACACCAAAAAGCTTGCTAATTATAGTTTTTCCGACATGTATGGAAATATCCATTATTGGAGATGTTCACCCTAAACTCAGCAAAATAGAACTTCATTTATTGCTAACTAAACGATAATACTAATAATTGAGGTATAATTCGAGCTCGATCTAAAAGTGTAGAAGATGATCTTCTTATCGACCACTTTTTTTTTTTTTTTACTGATAGTTTGTTTTTAAATAAGTCTTAAGTCATAGAGAAAAAGACTAATGCGATCTCCATATTTAAACTATTTTGCGCTTGAAATAGAGAAGCTTACATAATTTGATTCTGAGGAGTTAAAAATGGACAAAAATTAATCATATTTAAACAACATCAACTGAACCACAGTTCTTTTATTTTGTACACCGGATACGCCGAAAAGCTAGCTATTTATACTTTTCCGCATTGTATGAAAATCACAAGAAGCTAGCTGGAACTTGCTGTCTTCAATGTCAGTTAAAGCAAGTTGGCGCCTAATCTGGTCTTTAAAGCGTTTCCGGGGGGGGGGGGGGGGCAGCAGCTCTGTTGCGCCGATCACCTTTCATTTCACACAAAAAAAAAAACGGCCTTTAACATATGGTCGTCCTTCATGCGGAATACTTGCTCTGCTCAGCGTAGCTGTGGAACTATAAGCAGTCCACACGGGCGTTCGCAAGAACATTAGCTATTTGTGGTGCCGTTCATGATGGAGCGCAGACATTTTTAGTGAAAGCGTTCAAGAAGTATTGCTTTCTGTATGATACCATGTTTCAGATACATATATAGAGGGGCTGAGAGAACAACTGCCTGGTAGACATTGATTTTTACAGGCGGGGCGATTTCTTCAGTCACAATCTTGCTTGAAGGCGTCCAAATAGCACTACTGGCTATCAACTTCTCAACTTCGCTTTAAAGTGATGCGTCATTTGATACAGTGCTTTCCAGATATGCATATTGGCCCACCAAGTTCGGGGGTGTATTCACGGTGATCGTTGGGGCTGAGTAGATTTTATTGTTAAACCAAAAGACGCGCGCAAATTCGTTGAGTGCGAGCTCGTGATTATGTTCAGTGTGAGCAGGCAGGGCCCAGTCCTCGGCAGAGAAGTTCTATTACGAGTTTTTCTTTTGTTTTCGTATGGGACACATTGCCATCTAAGCGGAACCTGACGTAGATGCCTTTGTGCAAACGCGGTCTCATTTGACCCAATTTTACGCCAAAGAAGAGGCGAACAGAGTAAGGGGTATACACAGCGCTGCTGTACGCCATTTAATGTTGGTCTTTTTGACCAACATAAAGCTTCTCTAGAATGGTTAGGAAACTAGGTAGGTATTCCAGCTATGACAAATCCTCCATAAGCTATCGCAAATGACCAACTCGAAAGCCTTGGTTAGATCCACAAAGGTAACGTTTTGGTCCAGGTTCTGCATTTTTCTTGTACTTTGAAAACAAATCTCATGTCAGATGTACCTCTACCTGTACTTTGAAAACAAATCTCATGTCAGATGTACCTCTACCTGTACTTTGAAAACAAATCTCATGTCAGATGTACCTCTACCTGCCCTAAAGGCACATTGGCTCTCAACACGTCGTCCATTAAAGAGTCAGTCGGTTAAGCAGAACTCGTGCAAAGATATTCCTGCTACTGACAGAAATGTGATGCCTCCGTAGTTGGAGTAGTCTGACTTGTCGCCTATTTCGTACAGGAACTAATAACATCGTATTTTCCCAGCATAGATATATAGATTCATGAAAGTATTTCTTATTTCTCTAATCCGTCTGACATATACAGCTAACGCATCAACAAAAGCACTGTATGTAAGCCTATATATCTGTGTGTGTGTAAGTGTTGATAAATAATTTTCTACTAGTATTGAATGTAATATATTTATGCATCAGTCAAAAGAAAGCTGCCCTGTCAGCCAGCCCTATGACAGATGCATACCTATGCACAAACTGTGGCAGAATCTGCCGCTCCAGAATTGGCTTAAACAGTCACTCTAGATTAACCAAAAGCCAGTGACTCATCTGGGCGCATCCATTGTCTTCCGAGACAGGAGCCATATCTAGATATTTGTCTATCTTAGTCAACTGCACGCTTGAAACAATAGTACAAATCTTGTATTATATGTATGTATATCTTTTATTGTTGGTACAAGCTTTTGTTTTGTCCTTATAACAAAATGGTTAAAAACAAACAGTAGACAATAAATAAAGTTACCCATTTTTTTTAGTTCTATATCTGACAAAATACTGGCAAATTTGAAAACAAGATTCTGTACACATTAAAAAATACATCAAGTAAAAACAACAAAATGCTTGTGTACACAAAAATGCTCAGACTTTCCCAGAACTAAATGTCTCACTTGTACATGCATCTTTAAAAGGATGGTCTAAACCAGTTACTGGGTGCTAAAGCCAAATTGAAGAAAATTATAAAAATAGAAATGATACTGATTATATCACAAACAATCAACTAATCCAAGCATTATCAAAAACACAAGATAATGGAAAAATATTTTTTTAAAAGTAAAAACAACCTGAATTGAATACGTTCTAATAAAAGTAATATAAAATACGGATCTTGTTCACTACCATAGACCTTGTTCATACAACTGTTAACTTTAGTCCACAGTATGAGAATTTGTAACTTCAATAGTTATACAAACAGAAAAAAAAATGTTGCATGTGTTTTATCCATTACACACTGATATATATAATATAAGCTATCTTTTTTTAAACTGAAGTCATCCAATCAAATATATTTGCTTTCATTGGTGCATTGAATGATTATAAATAATGTTATTCAACTAAACAAAATGCCAGCAATGGCAACAGCAACATCAATTAATGTGTGATCAAGGTATGCTTCACAACAAAGTAGGATAGATTGGATCACAGAGCTTAAACTGCTGGGAAATAGTTCAACAAAAGTAGAATTCTTATTGTTCTGAAAAGCTTTAAGTGGAGGAAGGAAGATGTAGACTAGTGCCAGAGAAAATAACACATTAGTTTGATCACGTGATTCATTTATGTAAACCATGTTCTAAAATATTTTCAGGACTTTTATTAATTCAGTAGGAGAAAAAATAAATAAAAAGTAACACCAAATGATTGGACATTTAAAATAATGTGTGCATGAAGATATATCTGTATATATTTAAAACCTTGAAAAAATAAAATGAATAATTAGCCCAATAGTTATTCAAAATGTAACACTCCCACTTTAACACTGCCTGCTTCTACAAACAGAAATACATTTTTTTAAAAATCTAAAGAATATCAAACAATTTGATTCATATTTGTTCAGATACTGTCAATAATAATATAATAATTCAAACCAAAAGACTTTTAATATCATAAATACATCAGCGTCACCAAAAAGACTATTAGCATTAAATTTATTTATTTTTCGACCCCGAACTTAAAAAATTATAAATATAATAGTTTAGCAATGAAAGCCAACATATGCTGTTTTAGATAAAACATCATATTAAAAGAGTTAATGAAACAATACTAATCTAGTAAAACAGACTTAAACAATGCTGAAGTTTCAGAAAGTCTTAGTAAATTGAAAACAAAGGTTACTAGATAGATGCAACTTTGGCTCCTAAGGGTAACAATCATACATCTGTTCTTTTCATTCAAAGTGAGAACCATGAGAAATATTTCTTTGAAAGCTGTACAACTCAGACATTAATTATAAAATGTTACAGAAGAAAAAAAATAAAAAAATCTGCAATTAACCACCAAGAGATTTTATTTAAAGTCAATAAAATATTCTTTAAATTTCACATAGTTTCAAACACCAGTAGAACATGGTTTAAAAGGGTGGCAGAGTGCTTTATAACAAGATGGCAGAGTGGTTTATTTCAGAGAGGTTACTATTTTATCAAGAACAATTAGATGTAGTTAATCCAACCTTAGCACATTTAGTGCATAGAGCCTAGAAAACAAACACATGTAGCTATATTTAATAGACAAAATGATCAAAATGTGTAAATTTTTTTAAAAAATGTAATGATCCTTTTCTTCACATATGGACTGGTACATAGTTGTGGCCTCAATATAAATATTTTCAATATAAATTATCTGCTAAAATTCAATCAATATTACACTATGATATAAACATTGGAGAGTGTTAGCTACATTAAGGCGGCTAACAGTAAATGACTGAAGTAAAGAATCAATGACATGAATCAACTCCAGAGCACTCAAAGAGAATTTCCCCTACCCCAGACTACTGTCAGCTTATCTAAGTGTGTGTGTACATATGAGATGACTGGATGTTGATGTAAGGAGAAGGAGCACATATCACAATGATACTCAAAGGGTACATGCAAAATAAGATTTAGAAACATTGAAAGGACTAGATTTTCATTCAATCTCAATGCTAACATTCACAAAAATTCCTTTAGGAAAAATAAATTTCAATGGTTTATAGAATTCCAGCATAAAATATATGTAAAAAAAAAGGTGTAGAAGTATATGTACATGACAATAATATTTTAAAGCACATGAAACACTTTGTCATGATCCAACATCAACACATTGCACAGTTAGGTCAATCTGTTCACAACAAATTTCTTTTTTTTTTTAAGACATGGATTATATTTTACAAAAAAACAACACACAGTTGAATATCTGTTTGTATACATTTAAACAAAAGGAACAAATAACAACATAGAAGATTTTAGCACATTCAGGGGCAAGATATTATTCTATCACAATGTGAAGAAATTTAGATCAAATGAAAATATAGCATCAGATTATTATTAAAATATTTACGAAATAGTATAGACAGATCTAAATGTGAATAATAAGTTGTAAATTATAGAGGTGACAGTTCAATATTACACAGTAGGTTCAAGAATATAACAACAAGCAAATTTAACACAGAATCTTTTCCTTAAGATATTAAACTGACGATGTTGTGGCATGACTTATCAAGACTGTTCTTTCTCCGATTCTGTTGCGGACTGGTGCTTTGCATAACGGACAATTGTTTTTGTGTTCAAGCCACTGCTCAAGACACCTGAAGGTTAATAGTACATTTATAAAACTTACTGAATAAAGTAAGAAAATGAATTCATATATAATAAATGAAAACTATTTTGGAATAAGGAAGTTTAACGATCTGAACAAACTTTGCCTTAATAGCGCAGATGTGTGAAAAAACAAATCACAAAATTAGCTTTTTGGTCTACTGTTCTAAAGCAACATACTATCCGACAACCTAAATATTTCCTTTTTTTTTTAACATAAAATATTGAGTATGGTGAGAATTAAAAATAAATGTCTTAAAAAAGACATTTTATAAACACATTGTTTTGAGACTGTTTCTATCATCAATGATTTTTTAACATCAAAATTTAACAAATCAAATTAACTTATTTTCTCAGTACATGATAATTAAGTGAAAAAAAAAATTCATCAGAATCTAAATATAACAAAACTATTGTCAATAAATTCAAATCTCTCCCACCATGTAGATATATTAGTGTGGTTTCATGTGAAAAATTTTAATACAAAAAACTTAAACCAAGCACAAAAAGGTAGGTCTAGGCTTGTAATAAATCTATAGTAGATCAATATTTCAATTAATAATTATAATATATATTAATTAACTATCAGAGTCAGAATTTTATAAAGAATGTTTTTGTCTCAATTGAAAGAGACAGTGAGAGGTCGATGAAGGACAAAAAAATCATGACTTTTATTAGACCTATAGCCTAAAGTAAAAAAAGGGTGTGTTTCTCTGGAGCTCAGGCACAGAAGACAGTTTCGAGGGCTTAGGTCTGACAGGGTTAATTTGCAATGTTTCTGAAGAGGAATAGTGAGATGAAGACGATTTACCAAGTTATTTGTTTAGTGAACCTTACTCATCTGATTTAAGATGGCAGTCAAATAGTTAATTAAAACTTGGTGTGTTCAGTTTCATAGAGTTACTCTTTCAGATCTTGTGATCGCAGATGATGTAAAGGTCATGTTTCTGTGGCCCACTGTTAACGAGGGTGTCATGTGGCCAGCACAACGAACAACCACCTTTACTTTTCCCCGACTAATGTCAGGTACTCAATAGAGCTGGGTGGACTCAGAGGCGTTTGCATGTCCTGATATGTCTTCCTCTACGGTCGTTAAATGTCTCAATGAACTATTCGCCCTATTTGGATTTCCAGCGTACGTCCACACTGACAGGGGAACTTCGTTTATGTCTACAGAGGTGCAGCATTTCCTCCACAAGAGAGGAATTGCAACCAGTAGAACGACCCCTTACAGCCAGAGGGAACGGACAAATAGAGAAACTTAACGGGACTTTATGGAAAGCCATCACCTTGGCTCTACATTCTAAGGAATTGGACATAGCCAAATGGGAACTAGTACTAAATGATGCTCTGCAATCCATCCGGTCATTACTATGCACTGCAACTTACAGGACACCACATGAACGACTTCTTGGGTTCAACCGAAGAAGTGGTCCCAGGACATCCTTGCCAACATGGTTGACCAGTCCTGGTCCTGTCCTGCTGAAGAAAAATGTTAGATCATCTAAATACGATCCCATAACAGAGGAAGTTGATCTGGTAACATGCAACCCTCAGTACGCTGTTATCCGAACACCAAACGGCCGAGAGGAAACTGTCTCATTACGAATGTTAGCCCCTAGGGAGGAGCAAAAAGTTATAGAAAATGAGAATCAGAGTAGAACAGAGCTTAATATTGGCTGCACCGTCCAAAGCTCACCTCCCAGGAATCAACCGACTGATTCTATCATGCCTGAAGAAACCACCAGCACCACCGAAGACATAGCCAGACCGTCCGAAACTCAAGCAGATGAAACCACACATACATACAATCTTAGAGTAAGGAGAATTAGGCCCAACTACAAAGTGTAAAAGCTCATCAGCTTAATAGAACTATTATTTTGTTTATTCTACTACTTTCATTCGGCTTTGTTGACTTTAATGTGATATTTGATCTATCATGATATATTTTAATAAGCTATTTGATTTACCATGTTACATAATTTCATGCTATTCTACATTGTTTGTTTGCTTGAATCTCTACTTGAATCTACACTTACTTAATTCTTTTACTGTTTATAATACTAGATAGCATAATTTGAACTGGGGGTGAATGTTATGAAAATTGTATTCTGTATCGGTTATCGTTCTTATGTTTACATGTGCTTGTAACTCGTCCATGAGAATGTGTTCACGAAATGTGTGTTGTGTTGTCATTCAGTGTATTAAAGCCATACGAAACAGACATGGTTTTTGACTCTCTCATCTTTATGTTCATAACAGGTAGTAAGTAACTTACTTTGAATGGAAACCATGACGGCAAGTACAAACAGCTATCTTTTCACCTTTCTTAAATTCTTCCAAACAAACGGAACAAGTCTATAAAAAAAACAAGGAATTATAATTAAAACACAAACCTTTTCAACAAGAAGGAATTAGAAAGAGTTAAAGATCAAAATATTTTTCTCGCACTCATACTTAAATGAAATACTAAGAGTGTGCAATAGAAGGAGAATTAACATTTCTACAGCTTGTTTCCTCACTCCATCATTTGGTTCATTTTTTGTGACTGGTAGTTTATCTTCTGGGGAATAACAATGAATCTTTAAGAATTTTCTATCTGACAAGGCTATAATAATAAGCACCTCCTTTGTGGTCTTATTTCAAAGAACTTTAGGATGACTATGAAGTCAGATCTTTGCTGTTTTTTTTTTTTCTGATCTTCTTTGATAATGGATATAATCTTCACCTCCTAGCTTAAAAAAACAGACAGTCACTGCTCTGGAGGTGTGGAGATGCAAAGACATATCATTGATAAATTGACGAGACGAGATGGTGGTGGTCAAGAGCTCTGGAGTCAAAAGAAGTGGTGCAGAAGAAGAGGAGCTTTGGGAAGTGAATGGCAGTGCTGATATATGTGTGGTAGTGATGGAATTGAGACCTTAGTGGCAGCTAACAATACTTGTGTGTGACGATTAGGGGTGCACCGGATAGTACTTTTTGATATCCGGCCGGAGCCGGATATAACCGGATAGTAAAATTAGATATTCGGCCGGAGCCGAAGCCGGAGCCGAATACCTACATGACTCAAACAGCTCGTTTTACTGAAGTTTTTGCAAATCTTCTATATAACATACCTATATTCATATTATTTTGTTATTATTTTCTTACTTTAAACTCTATCACTGATTGATAAATTTAAATCAACAGCATTTTTTTTACAGATATGCTTATCATAAACTAATCTTTGTAACATGAGATGGTGTGTGCGTATGTATGAGGCCGCTAATTGTAAAGTAGAATGTGGGATAACTCATGCAGAATATATTAACTTATATGTAACTAATGTAAATCTTTCAAAGGTAAAGTTCAATCTTGGTTTTATAGCGAAAATCTCTCTTAAGTACAATCTAAGTTGTATAGTGGATAGATGTTTGTGTTCATGTATTTTACACCATCAACTTGTCATTAGGCTCGTGTTTTGACATTAAAGTAACGCCATATAAGTGATGACTTTTTATCAGCCATTATTATTTCTTTTCAATTTACTAAATGCCCTTGTAAGCCACTTTTATACCCGTGGCTTGTGTAACAAAATACTTGTAGGGGTGTGTCTTGTAGTTCAGCGCTCTAATTGACATTTCTCTCCAAGTAAACAAACTTAGTGTCATCATCTAGTGACCTCTAGACAGTGTCAATATGTCTTAACAATTTGCGTTAATCCATTCTGGCTTAAAAATGGTCAATGTCTATATTCTCTATCAATACATTGTCATGGATTAAACAAATAAGAAGTTGGGGGTGTTGAGTCTCTTGAGCCCTCCCTTTAAAGATACCCTTGGTCAGTGTCTGTTTGGCTTGTAGTCTTAACTCATAATTGAGACTTAATTCAAAGTAAACAAACTTATTACCCGTCCAATAGTATAAAAGGTGTGGTTTGTGGTCCAGACCCTTGATTGACAACCTATCTCATAATAAACAAACTCATACCA